ATCTGACGAGGACAACCACCCCGAAGTCGATGTTATTGACCAAAAAGAAGAAGATGATGAGGCAATAACTGATTTTATGGTCAATAATACCGATGAAGATCAAGAGCATGAACCTCTACCTACGAGTCATGCGTACGACCTTCCGTTTCACATGACGAACTTGAATTTGAGGGAAGACAAACTAGCCTCAGATATATTTCACAATTCTTATATGTAGACCGAAGGAGCCTTGAAAGTTGGAGACAAATTTCATACAAAAGAATAGTGTGTTAGAGCTATCAAAAAATACCACATGGAAATTTCAGCTGATTTCAATGTAGATAGAACTAATTCAGGGAGGTACATTATTTTATGTCTTCAAAAACCAATTTTACATTTTCGTTTAACTGCATCTTACAATAAGAGAAGTGAGTCATGGGAAATATGTACCATTGATCCACTCCACACTTGCATCACCGCCGTTCCAACGCAGGATCATCGAAAACTTAGTTCTCAACTAATAAGTCAAGAAATCTCGCCTCTTATTAGTAAGGATCTGTCGTTAAAGGAGATTACAATTATTTCTCATATTGTTACAAGATTCAATTATATTCCTCTTACAGGAAGGCATTGATCGCGAGGACTAAGGTAGTTGGACTTGTGTACGGTAATTGGGAGGAATCATACAAAGAACTTCCAAGATTTTTGGTGGCATTCAAATATTATGCTCCAGGAACTGTGGTAATTTTGGATACATTCCCGACATTTACCCCCGACAGAACTCGTATTAGTGGAAATGGAATATTTCATTGATTGTTCTAGGCGTATGAACCATGCATCAAAGGTTTTGTATTTTGCAAACCTATTATACAGATTGATGAAACTTGGTTTTACGGAAAGTATAAAGGAACATTACTCATGGCAGTGGCACAAGATGGCAACAATAATGTTTTTCCGATTGCCTTCGCTCTAGTTGAAGGTGAGGCAGGTGGTGCATGGAATTTCTTTCTGAAGAATCTCTGATTACACGTTGCTCCATAACCCAACCTTTGTTTGATTTCAGACAGACATCCATCGACTGTGAGTTCATATAATAACCCTGATAACGGTTGGCAAAATCCCCCTTTAACACATGTCTATTGCATTAGACATATCATGCAAAACTTCATGCTCCATATTAAAGACAATACAATTCAAAAGAAAGTTGTTAATGTAGGATATGCCTTAATAGAACCATCATTCCGACACTATCGCAAAGAAATCTGGTTGACAAACTCAGAAGCATTAAGGTGGATCAATAATATTCCAGTGGAGAAGTGGACTCGGGCATTTGACAATGGTCAACGATGGGGCCACATGACAACAAATTTGGTGGAATCATTGAACTTTGTCTTTAAAGGCATCAGAAACCTACCAATTACTGCTTTGGTTAGAGCAACATATATTAGGATGGGGTCATTGTTCGACACAAGAAGTTCAAAATGGAGGGAAATGTTACAATCAAGGTAGTTGTTTAGTGAATGCACAATGAAATCATTTAACAAGGAGGTTGCCAAAGCAAACACCCATAATGTCACCGTGTTTGACAGTGTTAAAGGTTGGTTCAGTGTACAAGAGACAATGGATCATAATGAGGGGAGGCCAAGGGGATATTATTGGGTCGAACTAAATATAGGTTGGTGTGATTGTGGAAAGTTTCAAGCATTTCGCACGCCTTGCTCTCATGTCATAGCGGCATGTTCGCATGTTTGCTTGGACCCAATACAACATATATCCCCTGTTTACACAGTAAAGAGCGTTTTAAGTATGTACATCAGTACCTTCTCCGTGTTGGCAAAGGAGGATTATTGGTATGCTTATCAAGGGGACATTATTTAGCATAATGAATAAATGCAACGGAAGAAAAAGGGGCGCCTCAATAGCACTTGTATTAGAACTGAAATGGATACGGCCAACAAAATGATAAGATTATGCAGTACATATCGTCTTCTCGGACACAATCGAAAATATTGTCAGAATATTGGGTCTAGCTATGCAACCTAATTTTTTTATAGTAAACTTTCTGGAGTAATTAATTTGTTCTAAGCAAGAAATTTCAATTTAAATTCGGGTTTTCATTCCGTGTTCAATTTATCATTCAATTACAACAACCTTCACATAATGACTCAAAAAATTACAACACGACAAACTTAGGACAACAATAAAATAACATGATAAATAAACATAAAAACTAAACACGTCATAATATCTAACCATCAACACAATACCGTATGGTCCAAGCATCATCATCATGACATCTGCGTCGCATCTCACCTTTTTCCATGATCGGCTTACTCCATTTTCATTCCTCACTGTAATTCATCTTTCAATTTTTATGATCTTTTCACCTTCAAGAATGTCTCCTTTCAACCAGCGAATCAAGTGCCTCTGAAAATGCTCGAAAGTCTACGTGTTCTAGAGTTTGATCTTCATTGGAAGCTTTGTCGCTGAAAAAACATGTGCATCTCTTTTTATCAGTAAAAACTTTGGCAAGAGAGTGAAAGACATTTTCTAAGAGTGATGTGAAAAATGGTGTGAAAAAATAAAGAGGATGAGTGGTTGCATTTATAGAAAACCATATACAACTGTCAAGCCACACAAGATGACGCCTCCTCTCTAATAATGCATTCATGCGCCACACCACATGGCATTACACAAGAGGACAAGTCATGCAGTATGGTGCCTCCTCTTTAATTTGTATGCATGCGCCACACATAGTGACACCTCCTCTGTGTGACGAATTTTGTTTGTTTGAAAAGTGGTTACTTTGATAAATATTTTGAAAATGTGGTTATTTGGATTTTTTTTTTTAAAAGTGGTTATCTGAAGAAAAAAAAATCCTATCATCACGTGGTAAAAAAATAAATTGAAAATAAAGGGGCTTCATATGAAAAATCATCAGCCAAAATAGTTTTGAAAAAAATAAGTTTTAAATGAGTGTCAAAAAATTGTGACTAAGTTTGTGAAGATTGTTGATATTGTGTATGTGTAAAAGTCAAAGTATAAAATTGTGTGTTTGTTGATGGAAAATTAGGGTGAAGAGAATGTTATTTATAGAATTTAGAAATTAGGTAAAACACCAAAAAGGAAATTATCCAACATAAAAAGCTCAAAATTTCTGATTCTATCTTGGTCAGCAAGTCTAAGAATTTGGTCCTATTTGTGACTCTGTACAAGATACGATTTGAAAAATATTCAAACTAAAAAATATTTTATTTTTTTAAAGAATTTTTGTCTATTTTTTAAAATAAAATAATGATTTAAAAAATAATATTAAAAAAATATAATAAGTAAATAAAAACGAAAATAGTAATTAAATAATAAAAAATGTGATTTTAAAAATGAAAATAAAATTAATAACAACTGAAAGAAAAAAATATAGAACTAGTAAAACTCGATCCCATGACCTTTTACTTGCAAGCTTTATTCCTAACCAATTATGCTATATTATTTATTCAAAATACAAAACCAATTGAAAATATACGAAGGGTGAACAAGTATTTTCTATTTAAGAAATACAAATAATTTAAAATATACGAAGGGTGAACAAGTATTTTCTATTTAAGAAATACAAATAATTTAAAATAAATTATTATGTATATTTTTAAATAAGCAAAAATAATTTGAAAACAAATATTTATAAAATTCTAAAATATTAATGTAAATAAACCAAAAAGAATTTATAAATTTCAAATTTGAAAATAATTTGACTGTTAAAAATAAGAGGAATAAATTTAGGATATGACATAGTTAAACAAAAACCTTAACAAAGTTAGATTTTAATTAATCCTCTAATGTAAATGACATCTGGGCAATAAAAAATGATAAGTTAAAACAAATTTAATAAAAGAGAAATAAAAAAATAAACAAGGGGACATGGAGAAGCTATAAACACTCTTATGAATTATGACTATGTGTATTGAGCAAGATTAGGGGTGTTTATTGGTTCAGGTAAATCTGAACTAAATCGGAATTTGAACTAAACTATAGTGTTTGAGTTGAATATTTTTTTAGTTCGGACAAGAACCGAACCAAACCAACGAAATTCAATGACAATTGGTTCAGACATCGGATTTTCAATTTTCTATCCGCAAGCCCAACCCAAACCAGTCATAATTAATTATCATGAAAATTACTACCAATCATTTAAGTTCAAGAAGAAAAAAGTGAAATATCGTATGTTGATAAGTTATTTTATTTTAATTTGTTATTAGAAAATTGTTAGTGTATTATGGTAGCTGAGTGTAGAGCTATGAAACACATTCATTATCATACTAACTCAAGTGACTAATTATAGATTCAAAAGCCTTGATGTTATATATTTTTCTTGTTAGATATTTTAGAATCTATTAGAGAAAAATTGCTAGTCTAATATTTACAAGTAAACACTATTAATACTATATTTTAATATTATTATAAAAAATTAATTTCCCTAAATAAGTTATGTTTTTCAAATACTTTTGCATTTTTTATCTACCCGATTAATCCAATCCAAACCAACCCATTATTTCTCGGTTTGGTTTGAGATTTACCGCAAAAATATACAAATCTAATCGAAACCAATCCATATAATTTTAATCAATTTGGGTATCAGATTATCTCAAAATCGAACCAAACCGGTCCACAAACATTCCTATGCAAAATAGAATAAAAGTCCGAGAATTCTAATAAAAATACACATTTCTAGGGGAACTTAGTTCCTTGTTGAACCCAACATCTTTAGATCAATTATCTAATCATATCTCTCTTATAGTGTCACCTTTTGAAAAACTTTAACAAAAGGACAAAGAAAAACAATTAACGCTTAAAATGCAAAAAAACAATATATAACAAGAAAAACAACAGTGTCGAAAAGTTCTAATACGATAGACATACAATTATTCACACTGTTACAATCCTGACAAAACATTGTAAGTGCCTCAACAGTGTTATGACCATAGACACTGTTATAACACAATTACAGGCACATAAGTGAAAAGAAATCAAAATTTGGGATAATATTTTAACGAATTCAAATTGCGATAAGTGCAACCTGTAACACACCACTGATCGGAATTGCGTAAGCCTTTATGCGACCACGTCGTAATATCGAATTTATAATCCATCTCCAAATAATCATCATCATATTTTTCAAAGGGCATATAAGCAAAACCATCTCCATCATAATCGTCCATATAATCATTATATATTGGAAGTTGGAAAACTTTCATTTGCTCACGACACCTTTTTTCCACATTTGGACTCAAACCACGAACATAATAGTATTGCAAATCAAGAGATTCAATAAGAGGGCAACTAATAAGAATGGAAAACAACTGATAATTGTCAAACACAATTCTAGAAAATGAAAGATGGCATGTTCCAGGCATTGATTTCCCAATAGCAAATACCTCATCATAAAAATCGAAGTAAGTGTAAAGGGACCCTTCAAATTTTAGTGACTTCAAAAGAGGGCAAGAATGACCAATAACTTCGATAGAATCCTTAGATAAGTACTTAAATGAAATTTGAAGCTCCTCCAATAGTTAAAACATCTTCACAGATTCAATCAACCCTTTATTTGAAAAGTTATTAGAGTAAGGAATTTCTAAACGCCTTAGGTTACTTACCTTGTAAAATATTACGAATTAGAATGTTTAAAATATGCATTCCCTGGAAACTAACAATAAACAAATTGAAAGTGATATGTATTACTTATGAGCGATATACTTGAGAAGGTCATCGATACCAAATAACTCAATAGTAATATCTTTCATATGACCGCAACTTAGATCAACCATACAACGAACAATCTTCTCCAAACAACAAAAATTATGTGTTGTAATATGTCCTTGTTCTGATATGTTGAATTTAAAAATTTCTTAAGTCCCGCATTGTTAGAATTTTTTTGTGGTTGAAAAAACCATTTAGTCCCATATTTCTCACGTGAGAAATATTAACTAACTCACTTCATTTTATAAGGAAATTACTTGTTTTATTCCAAAACACACCAAAAACTATTTTATTAGTTTTTGCTTCTTCACTCTCATAACTATGTGTCTTTCGAATTGTTGAAGCGTCAACTTTCCCCCCTTTCTTCTTCCCCTTTCTTTCTACTTGTTGAATTTTTTGAATACTTACTTGAATTATCTTTTGAAAATAATGATAATTTCTCCTAGTTTGAGTTGAGAAATTATCAAGTATAATTTTTTGGATTCTATTTAGAGAATAATTCGAATTTCTCTTTGTTTGAGAAATTATTTTGAGTGATCAAATGACCATTAATGAATTCTCTTAAAGAATTATTGAAATTTCTCTTGGTTTGAGAAATCATTATGACTAGTTGTTATACCAAATACTACAGTGGTGTTTATACCATATTGGAATAGGTCTTAGTATATCAAAGGGTATATTTCTAGATCGATTATCTACCATGCAAGTAGTAATCACACAATATAGAACTAGGTTGTTTTATCCTGGAGGTGGCGTAATAGTTCGACTGTTTTGCATAATTTTGGATAGTACCGCGAAACGTCTTAAAGATAGGAATCAATCCGTGAATCAACCCGGTAATTTCTTTGGTGGTAAAAAATTTCAAAACCCTGAAATAACAAGTTTTAAGACATTTCAAACTATCATGGCTACTGAAGAAATTATAGGTACTTCTGAGATTGTCTCGGACAAACTGTTCAAGTTTGAAGGAGTGCATTTCAAACGTTGGCAACAAAAGTGAGATTTTTCTTAACCATAAAGAAGGTTGTCAATATTTTAACTGATGACATTCCTACTGTTCCATTTGGATCAGTCGAACAAATGAATAGAAAGAAATCTAGAACTTAGATTGAATTGTTAATTTCAATGAATTTTAATTTACAACATAAATTAAAGCGAATGATTTACAGCTAAAGGAAGAAATCTCCTTATAGAAAGAGAATGGCTATAACATTCTGAATGAACTCGCAAATGATCTGTATGATTATTACAACAACTGCGATACTTTAAAACATGTTTATGAGGCTTTGAAAAACAAGCATGACATTGAAGTTGTAGTAAAAAAATATATTGTTAGTCGTTGCTTCAAGTATCAAATGGAAAATATGAAAGGTCGATGTAGGCTCAATATTACGAACTTCAAAAGATTGCTTATAAGATCATCACAAAAGGTATGTGTTTAGATGAACAATTTTAATTGGCTTTTATTATTGACAAACTACCCATAATTTGAATGTTTTTAAAAAACTTTGCTTCACCATGATTGAGAATATGATCTCATGGTTCTTATACACTCTGATATATGTAAATTAGATGGAACTTTAACTAGAAATAGTAAATGTTATTTTATCACTTTTGTTGACGATTGCTCTGATTATACTTATGTATACTTAATTAAGAATAAAAGTGAAACACTTACCATGTTTAAGATGTGTGTAACTGAAATCGAGAATAAATTTAGTAAGAAGATTAAGAGACTTTGTAGTGATAGGAAAACTGTACGATTCTAGTTTATATAATGAACTTTATTATAAACAACATGAAATTATACATGAAACATCTGCACCATACTTTCCTAAAATGAATGGTAAAGCATAAAGAAAGAATATAACTCTTACTGAACTTGTTGTTGCGATTATGTTGAATTCTAGTGTTGCACCTCACCGGTGGGAGAATTTTGTTAATTAGTTGCTATGTCTTGAATCGAGTTTCCAAGTAAAAAGTAATATCTCACCTTATGAGATATTAAAGAAAAGACAACCAAACTTGTCTTATTTAAGAACTTGGGGGCTATTTGGCTTATGTCAGAATTTCATATCCGAAGCGAGTTAAACTCTCTAGTAGAGCCTATGAATATGTATTCATTGGGTATGCAACGAACAATAAGGCATATAGGTTTTAAGACCTAAATGATAAAGTGATCATAGGATCAAATTATGTTAAGTTCTATGAAGATAAATTTTCTTTCAAATTGAGAAATAGTGGGGGCACTGAATCGAATCACATTCCCATGATAAGAAACACTGAAAGCAACAACGAAGTAGAAACTAAACTTCGACGAAGTAAAAGGGTAAGAGTTGATAAAGACTATGGGTCCGGTTATACGGCTCATAATGTAGATAAATATCCAATAAATCTTCAAGAAGCATTGTCATCTCTGGATGTAGGTTTATGGCAAGTAGCTATTAATAATGAGATAAAATCTCTAGAATCTAACAAGACCTGGAACTTAGTAAACTTGCCTCCTGGTTTCAAACCAATTGATTGTAACTGAGTTTTGAAAAAGAAACTAAAACCTTATGGAAATATTAATAAATACAAGGCTCTCTTTATAGCCAAGGGTTTTAGACAGAGAGAAAAAATATAGATTTCTTCGAAACCTTCTCACCAGTCACTAAAATTACATTCATTAGGGTACTTGTCTCAATATCTGCTATTTATAACTTAATAATACACTAAATGGATGTTAAAACAACATTTTTAAACAATGACTTAGAAGAAGAAATCTATATGGACCAACTGAAAGGGTTTGAGATTCTTGGGGCAAGAAAACAAGGTCTGTAAGTTAGATAAGTCTTTGTATGGGCTAAAACAAGCTCCAAAGCAACAACATAAAAAGTTTGATAACTTAATGATATCAAATGGGTACAAAGTGAATGAAAGTGACAAATTCATTTATTACAAATTTGAGAATCACATTTGCACTATCATATTTCTATATGTAGACGATCTACTCATATTTGGATCAAATATTCAGGCCGTTAATGATATGAAATCTTGTTGTGCAATGACTTTAATATGAAAGACATCAGAGAAGCGAGTGTGATTTTTGGTATCAAGATCACGAGATCCGAGCATGAAATTTCTTTGGATCAATCACACTATTTGGAAAAGATCTTAGAGAAATATAATTACTTTGACAGTAAATATGTGAGCACATCATATGATCCAAGCGTGAAGCTATTTAAGAACACTAGTGAAAGTGTTAGACAAACAGAATATGCAAGCATCATCGAAAGTCATAGGTATTCCATTGATTGTACTAGATCCGACATTGCATATGTCGTGGGATTTTTGTGCATGTTTATTAGTAGACTGAGTAATAAACATTGACAATTTATTGAGTGAGTCATGTGGTACCTCAAAAGGACCATGAATATCGGTTTACATTATCAGAGATTTCTTGTTGTACTTGAAGGATACAATGATGCAGATTGTAATACCTTATCAGACAATTCCAAAGAAACTAGTGGCTATGTATTCCATATCTAGAGGAGTTGTATCTTGAAAATCAAAGAAAAAGACTATCATGGCTCAGCCCACGATGGAGTCTGAGATGATAGCATTAGTGACTGCTAATGAAGAAGCAAGTTGGTTAAGATGCTTGCTAAATGAGATTCCCTTATGGGAAAAACCTATGCCGACTGTATTGATCCACTGCGATAGTACCATGACTATTGCAAAAACTGAGAACCAGTATTATAATGGTAAAAGACGTCAAATTAGAAGAAATCATAACACTGTTAGAGACTATATCTCTAAAGGAGCTGTTAGAGTGGATTATGTATGCACTGATGAAAATTTAGCAGATCCTTTAACGGAAGGATTAGGTAGAGAGAAAGTTTATAATGCATCATATAAGATGAGACTAATTCCTATAGGAATATGAGTTGCTCATTATGGTAACCCGACCTAAATGACTGGAGATTCCAAGAAATAGGTTCAATGGGTAATAACAAGTTGTGAGTAATATGAGGCGATCATGCTAGAGTAAATAAGTGAAGCATAAATCCTGAAGTAATAAGAGGATGAGATAATTGAAACTCTTAACGAGATATATACTCTGTATGAGGGAGTATCTAAGCTACATGAGTACTCTTGATAGACTCACCTATGTGATTGTAGCACTGAGGCTGGTTCCTATAGAATTTCGAAGCAAAATTCCTAGAGCTTTCACTAAACCGGGGTACACGTGTAGAGCCATTAAAGCACGTACTATTATAATACACCTTATGAAAAGGTTGTGTGTGGGTTTGATGTCTGAGATAGAGTTCAAGACATTTGTGTCACTCTTGTTCAATCAGAATCCTACTTGCTACACAAAGGTTCAAGTCGTAGACACCTTTGTTTATGAATAATCTTAGAAACGTTTGACATTACTTCTAAAATCACTTCTTTAAATTCAAGTGGGAGATTGTTGGAACATGTCATTGTTCCAATATGTTGAATTTAAAAATTTCTTAATTTCCACATTGTTAGAATTTTTTTTTGTGGTTGAAAAAACCATTTAGTCTCACATTGCTCATGTAAGAAATATTAACTAGCTCACTCCATTATATAAGGAAATTACTTGTTTCATTCCAAAATACACCAAAAACTATTTTATTAGTTTTTCCTTCCTCACTCTCATAACTTTGCGTCTTTCGAATTGTCGAAACACCAACTTCTTTCCCTTTCTTTCTACTCGTTGAATTTTTCGAGTACTTTCTTGAATTCTCTTTTGAGAATAATGGTAATTTCAACTCGTTTGAGTTGAGAAATTATCAAGTATAATTTTTTGAATTCTCTTTATAGAATTCTTTGAATTTCTCTTTGTCTGAGAAATCATTTTGAGTGGTTAAATGACCATTAATGAATTCTCTTTGGAGAATTATTGAAATTTCTCTTGGTTTGAGAAATCATTACGAGTGGTTGTTATACTAGATACTACGATGGTGTTTACACCATATCGGAATGGGTCTTAGTACAATCAGAGAGTGTATTTCTAGACCGATTATCTATCGTGTAAGTAGTAATTGTATAATATAGAATCGAGCTGTTTTATCCTGGAGACAGCGTGGTAGTTCGACTGCTTCACATAATTTTGGACAGTACCGTGAAACGTCTTAAAGAAAGTGTACCGATCTGTGACTCAATCTGGTAATTTCTTTGGTGGCAAAATTTTTCAAAACTGTGAAACAATGATATGAAATAAGTTCAATATAAAAAATGCGAATGGTACGCCACATTAAGGGATCCTTGCAAATGTGCCACCACCGAGGATACACATTACATGAACTTATCATAATATCAACATTATCAAGTCTTTGGAGTATTTTCTTTGTCAAATCTATTGGAAGTTCAAGCCAGTTTGACTTTCATGTGCTCTCACCTTTAGATTTCTTAAAGGACGAGTATGCCATATTACTATGATACAAAATAAATACTTGGGATTTCAAGCAATTTACAAACAGTGATGTGCTCAAAAACACAAAGATGGCAAAACAAAGATCACACACCAGTATTCCTACACAGATCACATCTGTTTTGATACACTGATCACAATATATCATCATCATTGTCACCACACTACCTGCCTCCATAAACAACAATATGGTCAACTCATCATTTTTTTTTTGAAAATTCACGGGCATTAAAATTTAAGAGCCATTAAATTTATTTGACAATAGTGCAACCGATTTCTAATTTTTAATCGTTTTAATCTAAAATATTTTATTAGTCTAACAAATTGAGTTCAACAAAAGATTAAATAAAATAAGTCCTTAATTCATAAGAAAATTTCTAAATAACGAAAACTAAAAAAAATGAAAATACTTAGATTTGCTAAGTAGAAAAAGCAAGAGGAAAAAATAAAAAAATAATGAAGATTAGAGAAATGTACAACATGAAACAAAAAGTAAAAAGTAAGGAAAATAGAAAATAAAATCCAAGTAATCTTTGTGTGTTTCTCTATTCCTATGTTGCATCTGCAACGAAATGTAACCGTCAGTGACGAGATCAATAACGTCTTAAGTACTGAAAAACACACGCATTTGAATTATTTACTGATTCCAATTCTTTCCATCAAATACTGAAAACTTTGTATTCAAATTGTTTCTGCCATTCATCTTTGTTTTTGTGCACCGAAACTCACGGAGATCTTACAAAAACACTTGTGTTTGTCAATCCCACAAAATAAAAAAAAAATACAATTCTATTACGATTTTAATAGTGAATTCAACGCGAATTTAAGAAACGAAATCAATCACATACGTTACATATTTACTCATGTTCTCAAAAAATCGAATAAAACTCTAGATACTAATTATTAGGGGTGTTCGCGGTGCGGTTTGGGCGGTTTTGAAGCAAAAAATTACCCGAACCGCAAGAGAAAAAAGTATGCGGTTCGGTTTGGTTCGATTGACTTTTAAAAATAAATCCAAATCAAACCAAACCAAATTAATGCGATTTGGATTGGTTCGGTTGGTTCGGTTTTTTAGAAGAAAAAAATTATTAAGTCATACATGCAAATATAAAGGAAAATATAATTTTGTGTTTAATTGTTCATACATTACCATAAAAACATTTATAATTGTCAAAATAAATTTATAATTTGATACATAAAATTGCGTATTATAACTTTATCTAAATCTAAAGAATGATATAAACAAGATTGCATTCTTAAATAAATATTATATAAAGAATATGATAAAATATATTTTGTGAAAATAATATTTATAAATGAATAATATTTTATTTTTTTATGATTTGTAAATTAAAATGAATATAATACAAAGTATGATAAAATATACACACAATACATGTTGATTTCTCTAAAGAATTAAAGAAATATATATTGGTTAGTAAGATTTTATAACATAACGTGATTTTGTTTGGTTTGGTTCGATTTGTAAAATACAAACCGCAAACCGAACCGAACCGTGCAGTTCCGCGAGAAAATGACCCAAACACATCCGAATCAAATGCGATTTTTTGCGGTTTCGTTTTGATTCGATTTAGTTTTGCGATTTTCTATTGAATTTGTTTGGTTTTGAATACCCCTATTAATTATTAAAGTACGAAGTTGAAAATAAAGAGGAAGAAGAAAGAGATGAGAAAAGAGAAAATAAAAATAACTAACTTCTATTCAAAACAGCTTCAGTTTATATACTACCAAAAAAAAAAAATTAAATGAATCTCAAATTAAACAAAATGCAACTTTAATGAAATAGGTCAGGTCACCCTAAACCCTAACTAAATGTGAATTTGAATTACAACTTAACAGATCGATCTCTCTTCCCTGCTTGTACTTGTCTCTCAGCAATCTTTCTGTTTCACTTGAACCAAACATATTTTACATACCTACCCTCGTAAACCCCAACACTTGAGAATCTCATTTATCACTGTTTCTTCTCTCTTTACTCACAAGCCCTACTTCAACGCCGCCAACACCACCACCCCTCCTCCTTCACCTCCCTCATCTTACGCCGTCCTTCATCTAATCTCCCATTTCCAGATCAAAGGTTAGATTTTCTTGAGATTATTTTCTTGCTATTGGAAAATTGTTATAGTATTTGTTTATTTTGTTTTTTTCACTTTTCAAGGTGCCCGTGAATTTCTTCCTTTGCTTTGCCATCTTTATGTTTCCACTTCAAATTTTGTCTCATAATAATATGGCACCATCTGTTAAGAAATCTAAACGTGAGAGTACAAGAAAGCCAAACTTGCTTGAACTTCCAGTAGATTTGACAAAGAACATACTCCAAAGACTTGATACCCTTGATATTCTGATAAGTGCGCGTAATGTTTGTTCTCTGTGGTGGCACATTTGCAAGGATCCGTTAATGTGGCGTACCATTAACATTAGTAATGTCCATCATATTCCATATCATTTTTGTTGTTTGGATAAGATTGTTCGTCGCGCGGTTGATCTAAGCCGTGGTCATCTCGAAGATATTGATATTCAGTTATTTTGTACCGATGACCTCCTCAAGTTTATCGCTCATAGGTACTACATATCACTTTCAATTTCAATTTGTTTATTGTTCATTTCTAAGTAATGCATTTTTTACACATCTTAATTCGTAATATTTTGCAGGGCAAGTAACCTACGGCGGTTAAAAATATCCAACTGCAATAAGATTTCAATTAACGGGCTGATTGAATTTATGAAGATGTTTTCACTATTAGAGGAGCTTCACATTTCATTTAAGCACTTATCTAAGGATTCTATCCAAGTTATTGGTCGATTTTGCCCTCTTTTGAAGTCACTTAATCTTGAGGTGCCGCAATACACTCACTTTGATTTTTATGATGACGTATTTGCTATTGGAAAAGCAATGCCTGGACTACGCCATCTTTCGTTTTCTAGAATTGTGTTTATGAATGATCAGTTGTTTGCCATTCTTGATGGTTGCCCTCTTATTGAATCTCTTGATTTGCAATACTGCCATGTTCGTGGTTTGTGTCCAAGTGTGGAAAAAAGATGTCGTCAGCAAATCAAAGATTTCCAACTTCCAAAAAATAATGATTATAAGGAATATGGTAATTATTTCGACACATATGAAGATGGTTGGTGTTATACACACATTGAAGACTATCGTGATGATGATTGGGAGGAAGATTTTAAAATTGCGGATGCAATGCAGTTGCGTAAAGGCTTCCGCCATCTCAGTCAGTATTGTGTTCCAGATTGGGCTTATGATTTGGGCTTGAGCCATAACGATATTACACAGATCAAGTTGATTCTACTTTCATTTTAAAATAATGTTTGTATTTCAAATTTTACCTTCATAAAGTGTGTAACTGTGTTTTGCTGTCATAATTAACCGCGTTTCTAAGCTGTAAATCTATGCTTTTTTTTGTGTACATTAAAACTGTGAACAATTGTATGGGCACTTTCCGATATTCTATTTTGTCGCGACTGTTTTCTGTATCAGGCCGCTTTTATAACCTTGTTTGGGAGTATTAGATTATTCGTTGGGAGTATTATAATTGTTTTCTTGGCATGCTTTTGAACTCAAATGGTTATCATCTAAGAATCTCAAGTGTTCCCAAAGGTTAAACAATAGCAATATTGCTTTAAAATAATTTTGCTTAGGACATATAAAAAAACTTTCAAATTCTATTTTTTATTTCTGTACTCAATAATCTCTCAAAATTTTGGTATTCAACCAAGTTTTGGATGTTTTATTAATCTGTATCAGATTATCATTTTTAGATTTACTCTCGAAAGATTCAAATTGTATTGTTACCATCAAGAACATAAGCAAAAGTATACAATGAGCTTGTTTTAAGCTTCAATTGTTTTTATTGTTAATAAGTAACATGCTTTAGTGTGTACAGCTTCTATCTTGCACAACACTACTCATAAGTAACATGAATTCAAGATGAAATTGATCCCATTCTTGAGAGACTCTCCATCTCCGGTTGAGTAAATTCAATTTGTCTATGAAGCTTAGCTAAATAAATCCAGGAAAGAACTCTCTATCTCCAATGTCTATGTAAATATTGCCCATCATGAATTGGGTTCTAATCATGGTGGTTATATCTTTCAAGGTCGTGGGCGCAACCATCATGGTCAAAGTCGTGGTCTCTCCAGGTCTCTCCAAGGGTGGTTTTGGCTCAAGTCCTACTTGTCAACCATGTGAAAATTTTAGTCATGCAGTCCTAAATTGTTGGAACTATTATGATGAAAGCTTTCTCCCTCCTTCAAGTTCATCAATGGCACAAGGAAATACGAGCTCTATGAAATTGTTTTGTTGGTAACAGTATCAAGTTAATTTGTTTTGATGTATTTTATTTTCTCGTATTCTGAATTCCTCACAATGTTCCCTCTTTCTTTCTTAAGTTGAAATCACTCACAATTTCACATTTGACCAAAGTCAACGCTAGATGGATTGAATCATAAGCTTTTGACCTAAATCAAGATATTCATACAAGTATGATTTGAATCACAACTTTGTTAGAACTGAATCATAAGTAAGCTAGGAAATTTTGATTTGGCAATTGTTAAGTTGTAATTCAGATTCAAGCATTTATCATTTGTGTTTAATTTCATGTGCATTTGAGTTTCATTTAGGTGTTAGTATACAAATCTAAAGTTAGTTACAAATGTATAACACTTGTGTTTTGATAAAAAGAGTTTGTTAGAGATCTAAAATAAATCTCTCTCTCTCTGCATTCTTTTATCTTCATCTTTTTGTGCATCCATGAAGTTTTGTTGTTAACTCCAAAAATTGGTATCCAAAGTCCCGATTCTGTTCCCAGGAAAACACAAGTGTATGTGAGGTGTGTGATTGATTTTGTTCTCCAAATTCACACCAAATTATAGATCGAAATCTGAGAAGAAACACATTTCTTGATTCTTAGGAATTAGGAAACACGAGTGTTTGTAAGAATTGAATTATTTTCACAAGAAGATGAACGAGAAACATTAGCTTGAACATAAAACTTCCAATATTCGATGAAAAGAATTGGAATCGGTGGTCGATTCAGATGCGTGTGTTGTCTGGAGCTTAAGATATTTTTGAGCTCTTCAATGACAGTTACAAGTCGGTTGCAGAAAATGCAACAAAAGCGCATAAGAATGCTCAACATGAAATGGGGAGGAAGGATAAGAAGACATTGTTCTATATCCATCAGTGTGTGGATACGAGTGTGTTTGAGAAAATTATTGACACTACACAACGAAGGAGACATAAGATACACTAATGCGGTGCTATAATGGTGACACCTCAATGAATAAGGTGAAGCTTCAATCCCTACGTAAGTATTATGAGATTCTCGTCTTGAAGGACAATGAGAAGGTACCTGATTACATCTCTAGATTGATTATGGTCATGAATGAGATGAAAGCTTGAATATCAATATGGATGTTAAGTTACTTGATTCGAAAAAGTGTTAATCATGATTCGAATCTGAAGGATTATGAAAATTGGGAATTGCCTCTGGATAATTTGATTCGAATCATAAAGAGAACATGATTCGAATCACAACCTCATGTGATCTGAATCAAGTTAAAATCTTGATTTGAATCAACTGTGTCCATGAAGCTATATTTGGGCTCTGCTCAAATTAATTTGAATCAAAGTTTCTTCTTGATTCAAATCAAAGTTTCACAAGACCCATTTCCATCCTTGATTTAAATAGTTGTTTTTTTGGTGAAAGCAACAAGTGAGTGAAAAATATGGGAGAATCCCATATAGACAAAGATGCCAGTTTTGTCTTCTCTTCTTAGTGTGTCTATAACCATCACCGTGAATCTCTCTCTTCTTATCTAGAATAACCTCTTGAGTGTAATCAATGTCATATTCACTTTTTTGTTGCATATTATTCTTGTACAATTTGTTTTTGTTTTTAGTGAATTAGAGAGAGTGAGTTAATTTATTTTGTTGTGTTGTTCAAGGTTAATCAAGCTCATGATAGCAATCAAGTACCAAGACCCATTTATCCATTAATTTGGGAGAACCTTGAGTATGTGTTCTTAGTTCACATTCATCTAATCCTTTGACTAATACCTTGTTTTTCAAAGTGTTTGTGAGATAGTATGACATTGTTCATCATCTTCATCCTTAGTCATTTTCTATTGTTGTGGACCTTTCTCTCTAAAAGATTAAATGTTGAGGGAGACTAGTGGTACATTAGGATATCAAATGATTTTGTGTGGAGTTTGTTGCTTGTTGCAGGTGCATATATCATTTATTGAATGAAATTTGGTATTTATTGTTATCCATAATAAGAGAATTTTAATATACTCCAAGGAAGACTTTGGCGAGATCAAGTATCAATTGTCCATAAGGCGGAGGTGAAAGTTGTCCATCTTTGGTGGAGTTGCAGAAAGATTGTTCGCATACAAAGTTGAGAGTTTTCTAATCAACACTTAGCTAATGGCAATTACTCAGACAAGAAATCAATGGGATCAAGTGGATTTCCAAATACAAATACTTGGAGAAGGTTACCGTGGATAGCAAGGTTATTGGATCAAGATCTTTTAGAGATCTTGTTTTTGTTAGCAGTTTGAGTGTCTGTATCAACACAGAAAATTATTGTTTGATAGTTCGTTGTAACCAAAATTCTTGTATCAAACTTATCAAAATAGTGGAAGATCGTGATTACTTTCCAGTGGTTATTAACACCATTGAAGATTGGAGTAGGCAAAGCGAGGACGAACGTCGAACCACTATATATCTATGTGTATCTTTTCTTCTTTCCTTTTCTCTTTTAATTTTCTAGTATTCATTAATTTTGATATTGCATTGTTGCATTGATTGAATGATACATAAATTTGACTATGCTTATATAGATTTAATGTATAAGCTTATGTCTATGGTGTATCAATCTTATTGAATTATCATGAATCCAATTATGTCTTGATAGAACATCTATGTGAATAGTTTTTAAATCGCTTTATTGAAAGCGACTTTAATTGTCTTTTGATTGACTTGCATTAGAAGCAATCAAGTATTTAGTAACATCATGTATTATTTCATTTGGTTTTATTCATTGAGATGCTTCCAATCTCTCTTGTTTTTGTGTTTTGCTTCAGCGTTTCTTAAAATCTCTGATTTCCTATATGAGACCTAAAATATTTTGAAATTGTCTTAAAAGAAAAGAGTCTATTCAATCCACCCTCCTCTTCTAGACCTTTTTGTCTCCATATTCTCATCCGGCAACATCTTCACCCATTTGGACATTACTAAGTGGTGTGGTGCCACGATCTCTAAGAGAAAGACCAACATGTCTATATTTATGCTACTATTATCATCATTCTCAAATTCTGTCACAAGACTTACTTCAGACTCATGTGACGTAGATGCTTGCACTTTCAAATCAGTAGTTTGATATAGAAATTTATCCTCAACAAACACAATATCATACGACACCATAAAAGTGTCTAATTCCACATCATACACTCTCCATCCAATTTTCCCAAAAGGATATCTGATAAAGATGCATTTCCTACGGCGAGTAGCAAATTTATCCCCTTTGTGCCTTTGATTGTGTACGTAGCAAAGACACCCGAACACACAAATGTGTTCAAGTAAAGGTGGTTTACTGTGTAGCATTTCATATGGTGTTTTCCCATGCAAGACAAGTGACATAATGAGGTTGATTAAGTATCTTGCAGTTAAGATGCATTCCCCTCAAAATTCAATAGGAAAAGCAGCTTGAAAACGCAATGCTCGAGCCACATTAATTATATGTTTATGCTTACGTTCCATTCGTCCATTTTGTTGGGGGTGTCGGGACAAGAGGTTTCATGAAAAATACCAAGTTCTTGAAAATAGGAGCATAAGCAAGTGAATTCGGTGTCGTTGTCATTACACATAATTTTAACTTGTTTATCAAATTGTCGCCGCACATAGTTATAAAATTACGCAAATTTATAGACACTTACTTCTTATCCATTAGGAGATACATCCACACTGCCCTTGAGCAATCATCAACGGTAGTTAAAAAATATCACGCACCATAATAAGTTAGAACTCGGTACGGACCCACAAATTACAATGAATAATGTGGAAATTTTCAAGACTTTTATTACTACTTAAAGGAAAAGTTTCTCGAGTTTATTTTGATCTTAGGAAAACATCACAAATTCAATTACATAAGCTAATACTTCTACCAAAATGTCAAACATTTGGAACAAGCTCTACAACTTTAGATGACTTATCTCCCAACCTCTTGTGCCACAAGTCAAACATGTTTCCTCTTCTAGTTTGTATTACTGCTGCAAAACTCATGACTTCACCAGTCTCTT